AATTAAAATTCTCAAACCTAAACCAAACTGTTTTTGACCGGTTTGGTTTGGTTCAAAACCATTTCGTTGACGGGTCCACGTGACACCAAACCGCCGGTTTTGAAATTGCGATTTCGGTTCGATTTTCCGATTTGGCGATTTTTGCTTACAGCCCTAGGTTAATTCACCCATAACCCGCCCCACGCTACCAAGTTGCAAAAATAAGATACTCTGCTGATGTGGAATTCTTCACGGGAAAATAATAAAAAAAACACAATTATCTTTCTAATACTTTGTAATTATCCTTGAACTTTGATGTCTTATTCTATAAAAAAACACGATTATCTTCATTCAAACTTGTATCATCCATAAAATTTAAGATATATTACAATTTTTTCTGTATTTAAAGTCATCTAATAATTGTGTTGTAATGAAATTTTTCCTTCTAAGAATGTATTTGATGTAGATTTTTGGGAGATGTTGCATTTTTTTGGTGTGACAAGGAATATGTTGTAGAAAAAAAAAAAAAAATTATTAATGTAAGAAAAAATATTATTTTTTTGAAAAATACGTGGAAACGTGCCTCGAGTGCTAAGCTGCTTCTTGAGTTCATCATTATTATTTGTTTCCATTATTATTTATTTGTTCATCATTTACTCCGTCAAGTAGCAGACTAGCAGGTAGCAAAGTTTCTTCGAAACAAGCAAAAATATGAAGTGATCCTGACAACCCACCTCTATTTGATAAATCAATAAAAGGTTAATCTAAATTTGAGAATTTTTTTTCCTCCGATTTTTATCAAAAAAAATTCCCTTGTCCAACATTACTTCCAACACAATGATTTGCCGGAATGTTTATCAGAAAAAGCTATGGAGCTCCGGCGACTGGTTGCGGTGTGTCTACTCCTCCATTGCTCTGCCGTCGAAGGCTGCCGGTGGTGGAGCCCTGAAAACCAATTTATCACTTTTTCAATCTCAAGCTCAATTTTTTACTCTTCCAGCGACGTCGTTTCGATTGAATAGTGATAATAAATTCTATTCTGTAAGTGTACTTTTTTCTAAATTTCGCATGATTTCTTTGTATTTCTTGTTTGCATGCAAGTAAAAGATTAGAAAATTGGGGCTTTTAATACCGCGTATGGAGTGAAAATAGGTGTTTGTTATTTCAATTTTTGTTGCTTTAATTGTTTTCTTGTTCATTGTTTATAGTGGAATGTTCCATTTGGGATAAAAGGGTGTTGCTTTACTACTCAAG